ATAGGGATACAAGGGTCATACCTAAATATAATAAAAGCTATCTACAGCAAACCGACAGCTAACATTAAATTAAATGGAGAAAAACTCAAAGCCATCCCACTAAAATCAGGAACAAGACAAGGATGTCCACTCTCTCCATACCTCTTCAATATAGTGCTTGAAGTTCTAGCAATAGCAATAAGACAACATAAGGGGATCAAGGGGATTCGTATTGGAAAGGAAGAAGTTAAGCTTTCGTTATTTGCAGATGACATGATAGTATACATAAGCGACCCCAAAAATTCTACCAAAGAACTCCTACAGCTGATAAACACCTTTAGTAGCGTGGCTGGATACAAGATCAACTCCAAAAAATCAGTTGCCTTCCTATACACTAAGGATAAGGAAACAGAGAGGGAAATCACAGAAGCATCACCTTTCACGATAGCCACAAAGAGCATAAAATATCTTGGGGTAACCCTGACCAAGGAAGTGAAAGATCTATTTGACAAGAACTTCAAGTCTTTGAAGAAAGAAATAGAGGAGGACACCAGAAAATGGAAGGACCTCCCTTGCTCTTGGATTGGGAGGATCAACATAGTAAAAATGGCAATTCTACCAAAAGCAATCTATAGATTCAATGCAATCCCCATCAAAATCCCATCAAAATTCTTCACAGATCTGGAGAAGACAATAATCAACTTTATATGGAAAAACAAAAAACCCAGGATAGCCAAAACAATCTTATACAATAAAGGAACGTCTGGAGGCATTACCATCCCTGACTTCAAACTCTATTACAGAGCTACAGTATTGAAAACAGCTTGGTATTGGCATAAAAACAGAGAAGTCGACCAATGGAATCGAATAGAAGACCCTGACTTTAACCCACAAACATATGAACACCTGATTTTCGATAAAGGAGCTAAAAGTATACAATGGAAAAAAGAGAGCATCTTCAACAAATTGTGCTGGCAAAACTGGATGTCAATCTGTAGAAGAATGAAAATAGACCCATATCTATCACCATGCACAAAACTCAAGTCCAAGTGGGTGAAAGACCTCAATATCAGTCCAAACACACTGAACCTGATTGAAGAGAAAGTGGGAAGTACTCTACAACACGTGGGCACAGGAGACCACTTCCTACGTATAACCCCAGCAGCACAGACAGTAAGGGCCTCATTGAATAAATGGGACCTCCTGAGACTGAGAAGCTTCTGTAAAGCAAAGGACACTGTTGCTAAGACAGAAAGGCAACCCACTGACTGGGAGAAGATCTTCACCAACCCCACAACTGACAAAGGTCTGATCTCCAAAATATATAAAGAACTCAAGAAACTAGACCGTAAAAGGCTAATCAACCCAATTATAAAATGGGGCACTGAGTTGAACAGAGATCTCTCAACAGAAGAAGTTCAAATGGCCAAAAGACACCTAAGGTCATGCTCAACTTCCTTAGCGATCAGGGAAATGCAAATCAAGACAACTTTAAGATACCATCTTACACCTGTCAGAATGGCGAAAATCAAAAACACCAATGATAGCCTTTGCTGGAGAGGTTGTGGAGAAAGGGGTACACTCATCCATTGCTGGTGGGAATGCAAACTTGTGCAACCACTCTGGAAAGCAGTGTGGAGGTTTCTCAGGAAATTTGGGATCAACCTACCCATGGACCCAGCAATACCACTCTTGGGAATATACCCAAGAGAGGCCTTATCACACAACAAAAGTATATGCTCTACTATGTTTATAGCAGCATTGTTTGTAATAGCCAGAACCTGGAAACAACCTAGATGCCCTTCAATTGAAGAATGGATGAAGAAAGTATGGAATATATACATATTAGAGTACTACTCAGCAGTAAAAAACAAGGACTTCTTGAAGTTTGCAGGCAAATGGATGGAAATAGAAAACACCATCCTGAGTGAGGTAAGCCAGACCCAAAAAGAGGAACATGGGATGTTCTCACTCATATTTGGTTTCTAGCCATAAATAAAGGACATTGAACCTATAATTCGGGTTCTTAGAGAAGCTAAATAAGAAGGAGAACCCAAAGAAAATCATATAGGCATCCTCCTGAATATTAAACTTCATCAGGCGATGAAAGGAGACAGAGACAGAGACCCACATTGGAGCACCGGACTGAAATCTCAAGGTCCAAATCAGGAGCAGAAGGAGAGAGAGCACAAGCAAGGAACTCAGGACCGCGAGGGGTGCACCCATACACTGAGACAATGGGGATGTTCTATCAGGAACTCACCAAGGCCAGCTGGCCTGGGTCTGAAAAAGCCTGGGTCAAAACTGGTCTCGCTGAACATAGCGGACAAGGAGGACTACTGAGACCTCAAGAACAATGGCAACGGGTTTTTGATTCTACTGGACCTATTGGTTTCGTGGGAGCCTAGGCAGTTTCGTGGATGCTCACCTTACTAGACCTGGATGGAGGTGGGTGGTCCTTGGACTTCCCACAGGGCAGAGAACCCTGATTGCTTTTTGGGCTGACGAGGGAGGGGGACTTGATTGGGGGAGGGGGAGGGAAAGGGGAGGCGGCGGTGGGGAAGAGACAGAAATCTTTAATAAATAAATAAATAAATTTAAAAAAAATAAAAAAATAAAAAAGGAAGGAAAGGAAGAAAGAAAGAAGGCTGTAATAATGCTGAGAAAATAAGATCATGTTAATGAAAGTACTTCCATTTGTAACAATACATAATTGGAGACTTGTTGACTTGCTTTGTATTCCTTAAAAAGAAACCTGATTTTCTGTTAACTCTTCCGAGGAAGGAAGGGAGTATTTTGGCTCACCCTTTGAGGTTACTGTCCTTCATGGTGGGGACTGTGGCAGCAGCAACGTGAGGCACAATGGTGGTGCCATTGCACGCACAGTCAGGAAGCAGGGTGATAAATCTGTCACTCAGCTGCTTCTGCCCTTAGCCTCAAGGCTCAGGCTGTGGCCCCTGTTGCCCCTTCATCTCATTTTATGTCACACGTTTAGCGTGGGGCTGGAGAGCTGTGTCAGCAGTTCAGAGTGCCTGCGGCTCCTCCACTGGACCTGGAGGAATTTCCCTCCATGTGGAGGGTATAATGACCTATGACTCTAGATCCAGGGGATCCATTGCCCTCTTTTACTCTCCAAGGGAATGCATGTGGCTTACACTCACATGTATACACACTCACATGTATAGACACACACACACACACACAAATATCAAACAAATTTAAAAGCAAACAAAAGGATCCTTGAACATATATTAAAGAGTCTTTTATGATACTCCAATGATAAAAAGATAAAATGCATACAGCTGCAAACTACAGTCCTCCTACTGCAGCTGCTTCTCTACCCGAGAGACACGGTGAGGAGTCTGCTGACTTTTTCATGACATTTCCACCTCTAGATAAATGCGTGTAAATAAGTTGTCATTGTCTCGAGTTTTTGCCAAAATGGGTTCCTATGAACCCAACATAGGTTGTTTTGTACTTTAAAAACATTGTATTTCTTGGAAATATTTTCAGGCTATGGAGTTCCAATAAAATGTTGTTGTTCTCTGCAAACATGGACTGTTAATAACCAGAGTTCATATTGTTTAAGGTTGCAACCTCAAAGTAGAATGTTGACAAGATTTAGCACAAACTTTATATGGCTTTTCTGGCATGGGCAGTTCACTTAGTCCCCAGGAAGTGTAGGACAACTTGATTTAAGTTTAACATTAACTGTAAGATGGCCATCCTGGCTGTGGATGGAAGCCAGTTTTAGTGCACTTGCCAATCATACATGGAGTCCTGGGTTGTAACCTCAGCACAGCAGAAACCCACACACAGTGGCACACACCTGTGTTGCCAGCACAAGGGGAGGCAAGAGGATGGCAAGTTTATAGTCATGCTTGGCTACATAGGAGTTTCAGGCTAACGTGCATTACATAGTGGGATCCTGTCTCAGAACAAGGAAAACAAACAGCAACACTGTAATCCAAACTGCAATGATTATCCTAGGCCATTTAGTAAAACCTAATGTTATTAAATTTCCCGACTCATCTATCTTCCCCTAAATGGGTGTAGGGCAGCAACTTACAGCCACTCGGATGCTGATGGTTCAGAAGTTTTAGCCCTAAGTAGACAGATCTGTGAAATTGTCCTCAGCATCTTTAAGAAGTCCACATATGGTGTATTTAATTATTTAGTTGGTTTCAGAAGAGGAAGCCCTGAAAACTGCAATACCTCCTAGAAACATTTTGCTTTGGGCAATGTAGCACCTTCTATTTGCTAGAACAGAAAATCATCACATCCAGTTTCCTGTCTTGCACAAGTACCTAACTGTGGAAGCCACATAGACCAGTTAGTACACGGGAAAGGGACATCAGAACATGGAGAAGCTCAGCTTTGGAAATTGCATCCTCTCTCCCTCACTTCTGCAAGCAGAGACTCTTGTCTGCCTTCATTTGCTGAGACTCTTCCACTGTTAACATGGGCTGTAAGGAACATGTGTTAGGACGATGGTAGCTGAATGGCAGACCAGTGAGTATAAGGAGTCAGCTTGCACTTCTGCCTCTGCACCAGGACCCTCATGGGGCTCTCTCTCTGTATTCCATGTCTCTTCTGCCTTTCCCTTTATTCCTCTGCAAGTGAGGAAGTTGTTCCAGGTTTTTTAATTCCCTTTATCCAGGAACCATCTGAGAGTCAGCACTATCTCCAGGCTGGAATATGAAAGCAGGTGAAGAGCTTTGCTGGGGCAAAAATTTCAAATTTTCAGCCTAGCAGAAATTTGGTTCTTGTTGTTTTGCTGTCTTGGAGAAAAGGTCTTACAATGCAGATCAGGCTGGCCTCAGCTCACAAGATAACCTGCCACTGCTTCCTGGGTGCTATTTTAATTATTTTCCTGAGGTCTCCCTAAATGACTGAATAGATGCTATCTAGCAAAAGATTGTAGAATTTTAGAGACTCAATTTTCAAACAAAACACTTGAAGGTGTGGCCGGGAGATAAAGATGGAGTTACAAAAGAGACTTGCCTTTATCCATGGGCAGATCTGGAAGACTCCATCAGCAGCAGAGGACTAGAAGGAGAGACTGTAACCAGAAGCTGTGGCTCTCCTACCTAACTGGTGAGTACAGTCTTCTGCAGACTCATGCAGGACAGTAGCAATTGGGATTTGGAGTTTCTGTACCATATAGAATTATATATGAGGTGATGTGGGATTGTATGCTGAACATTAGGACAATGGGGAGTGAGTCTCCAGACATTAAGGCAAACTAGCATCCAATAGAGTTCTTTGGACTCTTGGAAGGTGAAATGGAATAATGGACTTTCATAGATAAGTAATTAAAATGATTTTAAGCAAAGTTAATACATGAAATAAGAAACCTGTAGAAAATTGTGTCGTCCTTTATGATTAAGCCCTATATATTTAGCCCCTTGTCTAAGTAATGTATAATATTGTATAAAACATGGAAATGGGCCAGTGAGGTAAGGGCATAGATACATTTGCAGTCTTGTTCCTTGACATTTGGGGTTTGCAAAGTAAAGATATTTGTAAGAAATAGTTTGATGAGGAGAGCCTCGCAAGAGCTGCTGGGAGTTGAGGTCCCGTGTTAGATTTGGGAGCTTGGCCAAAAGTAGGAAAGTTTTCCTTTAGCTGAAGTGTTGGGGAAGGAAATGGGATTCCTATTGTGGGTTGGTGAGCAGCTTGTAACATTTGGGATTCATTTTTCAATGACCGGGCAGTCATTAAATTCTTTAAATATTGGGGAGATATTTAGAAAAAAATCCTCATAAGATATTTATAAATGCATGCATTTATGTTGAGGAGAATTGGAACAATCCTCCCCGAGACTGCAGTTTTACCCTCTTTACTATCTTTTTGTCTGTCTGACCTGCTACTTCCCCTCACTTCCAGAAGCTGTGGGGTGGTTGTGCCTTCCCTCTCCAATGCCCCATCCCTCAAGTCTCTCCCCCATCTAACCTGTGAACTATTAAAAATAAAACACGAGTCGGAAAATGTAAGATATACATCATAATGAACACTCACTCATTCAATTTTTATACTAAAATTTTAGAATCCACCAACCTAGTAAGTCCTGTCCTTTAAGCATTATCCTCGTGGCAGTCCACCACTGGC